AAATAATAAACATTTCATTGAAGGAATGTCAGAGACGTGTGTTAGAACGGACTAGTTACTAGGTATTCTGTGAAATATAAGGACACCGCATTTGTCAGTTTGTTCAAAGAGACCCTGTCACCAACTGGTACTCAGCAAACTAAAGGCAGGCATGGACTCTATATTAGGAGGACTTACAGTAAACCTGCCAGCTGCAGTGATGAGACTCCTATCAACAGAGATATCTTTAAGGCAATCCTTAAAAATACAGAGCCAGCCAGCAGCAGACATACTATGCAGCGGCTATTAATGCCAATCTTATGAGTGTTTTCTGCTGGTGAAACAATGCAATGACGTAGGGGTCAGGGTGGGCTCTGCAGGCAGCACGCAGGGCTCACCATCTGACACGGCTTGAAATGTCAATTTTGCTGTGGGATTGCCACAAAAGATATCTCTGCCAATTGCAGTCACAGGCACAATTTGTGTATGTGCTCTTAATACCAATTCCCTGCCTGAGTTACAGAGGTGACAGGGTCTCTTTAAAACTGACTTAAAGAGGTTCCGCTCTTAGAACAAAAAAAGTATATATAAATAATAACCCCCACCAAAAGAACACCTTTTAATTCATTATAAATCAGCTTTTCTCTCTTCAGTTTCTTACGTTCGGCTTTGAAAGATAGAAGCTGATTGGTTGCCATGGGCAATTGCTCCATATTCTGTCTGCTGCATCCTTGATGAATTCCCCCTACTGTTTCCAGAATGACACACGAAGCATGCCAAGCCTGTATTGTAGCCAAGCACATCACTGCTGACTGGGAGCATGCTATCCTGGCCGGTCATTAGGACGCAGGCTCCTGGATGACCATCCTGATGAATAGAGAGGGGAATAGTAGTTTTGTACAGGCTTCCGTCACCCGTTAACAATAAATAATCAGGAAGTCCTCTTTAAAATCTAACTCCATGTTTTCTTTTTATAATGTTGTAAGGCAGGAAAAACAAACAACTCTGTCAGTAGCACTTATTTCCTGTTTTGTTTGTTTATATTTTTGGAGCCTATAGGGGGATTCATTGTATCCAATAATAAATATTTTATTTTTACACATTGCCGTGTGCAAAGTATAAACACACAACATAACATAACATACTGCATCTGTGACAGCATCCCATAGACAAGAGTTTGAGTAACTAAAAGTAACATCTTTATTTTTTTTTACAGTGGCATTTGAAGGACTTGACATTCTTATTTAATGAGCGAAACCCCCTCCATGTCCTTGTGATGGGTCTCAGTTCCGTAATGTAGCTTTGCTGTTTACTACAGGTAAGGAATGAAAGAGTAGCTACTCTCCTTGGCATCACTAAATAATATCAGGCTTATTTCCTGTTCTGTTTGTTTATATTTTTGGAGTCTATGGGGGGATTCATTGTATCCAATAATAAATATTTTATTTTTACACATTGTCGTGTGCAAAGTATTAACACACAACATAACATACTGCATCTGTGACAGCATCCCATAGACATCTGATTTGCAGTAATTAAATGTATAATCTTTTTTTTGTTTACAGTGGCATTTGAAGGGCTTGAAATTCTTATGAGCGAACCCCCCTCCATGTCCTTGTGATGGGTCTCAGTTCCGTAATGTAGCTTTGCGGTTTACTCCAGGGAAGGAATGAAGGAGTAGCTACTCTCCCTGGGATCACTCAATAATATCAGACCTCACAGCAGAGCCAGGGTAAGTACAAATTTTGTATCAGAAAAATTTATTTTTTGATCTATATTGTGGTCCATTTCAATTTTAAATGCTGAAAATCAGCAGCAGAGGTAATAAATATAATGAAAAACGGGTGCTGATTTCATTTGCCTTAGTTTAAAACGGGGAAAAAAAATGGTCAGAATGTTGAAGTTACAGATCCACCTCTGAGGAATGCACACAACCTCAGAACTATTTGGGGTAAAGAAGTATCATTCTTCTTGCCACTAGCGGGAACTACCGGGGTCGCGGCGGTTGCATGTGCGACTGGGCCCTGGGTTTCTGCCACTTGGGGGAAGAGGGGGGCAGAAAGCAAGAAGAGGCCCCGGTAACCGCTGAGGCGCTGAAACTGCCTCCCCGGGGGCCCTTTAAGGTTTCTTGCACGGGGGCCCTAAGATTTCTAGTTACTAATAAACTCGGCTATGTTTAAAAAAGGAATTCCAGACAGTGATGTGCTTCCCTTATTAAAAAGCAGAACTTCAGTTAAACAATTAGGAGATAAAAAATGAGTAGCCCATTAATAGATAAAATAACTAAACCAGGATATTGCTGCTATATTCACCTCCAATCAAGAGGTTCAGCCTAAAGTGCTTTCTACTGCCGCTAGATATCTTCAGTCTAATGGCCAGCATCATTCAACCCATTTCCTCTAAGCCTACCCCAGCCTGTGACTGGACAGTGAAAGAGAAGCAGCACAGTGATGAGCTTATCTTTCTGTTGCTCTGCCCTCTCCTCCTATCAGCACATTAACTAATCGGCTCTTTGTGCTGCTTCTTCCTCTCACACTCCAGCCCTGTTCTACAGGGACTGCAAGAGGCTGATGCCAGGTCAAATTCAGGTTCTGCTTGTGTTTAAAAATAAATGTAATGTATTAATGATTATTCAGATACATTTGTGTCTTTTATAGAGAGTTGAGCTTTAAATTAGTCCAGTGAAGCATTTCAATAAATCTAAGTTTGGGCCTTTACTATGCAATCAGCTTAGTGCGGGTTACTGCTTTTTCTTACTGCGCTGCCCATTTAAATATATCAGCTACCATCATGGTATGAATTGGTTTTGGCACTCTTTAAGAACATATTTGGCAGGGGCAGAAAGGGTAGGGACAGCATTTGTAATTATACTTCCATCTGCCCGCATCAAGATCATGCAAATGTACACTGGCTAGCGAATTCAGTAACATAATGAAAATATAGGTAGTGCAGTGACCCACAACAACCAGCTATAAACCATCCAACTGCTGCCTGACTACAGCAAACAAACATGCAATCCTGTGCTATTGGTTACAGCACTTCGTACACCGTTGCTATTTACACTTAGGCTGGCCATAGACTGCGCTATTTTGTTCGTTCAACTGGCGATGGGCTAAAGGATACGAATAGAGCAGATTCCACCATCAAAGCTATGAGCGCGTTGATCCAGGGATCCCCACTGTTTCTTTGATCGAGGAATCCCCGCTGTTGGTATACCTGAACAGAGCAGGAAGCACATTGGCTGCCGCCTCTGTTCGCACAAAGAATTTCCGACCGGCTCCTTCGATCAGCTGATCAAGGAGCGCCGGCTGAAAGCGGCACCCACTGTGCGAATTTCTGACGGTTTCTCAATTACTGGTCGAAATTCGCACAGTGTATGGCCAGCTTTACTGAGCAATCCTACAAGTTCATTTTTGATGGAGCATTGTGAAACATAAATTACTAAATAAACTGTAATGGACTAGAGGACTCTCAATGTGAATGGTGTATTTCTGCCTATACTTACAGTCTCACAAATACTGATAAGATACTCAAGATCAGTCCTGTTTTAAAGCAGCATGGCCTACGGCCAGGGTAGCCAAGCGTTGACCCTCCAGCTGCAATGAAAACTGCAAATCCCACCATGCATCTGTCTCTGGGAGTCATGCTTGTGGCTGTCAGTCTTGCAATGCCCCATGGGACTTGTAGTATCATCACAGCCGAAGAGCTGAAGTCTGGCTACCCCTGGCCTATGGGTTCCCAGAGCTTTGCTTACACCGTGAACAAGCTGCCTATTGGCCACCACTAGAAGAAGCTGCTTGGAGCCTATACATACTGTGTATTGGGATAAAGGAGTAGCCCATCTCCCAGGAAATATAAATACACAGGTAGCAGGCCACGCTGCTAGAAAAAAAAAACAAAAACATTTAGCAAAAACAAACCGTCATTGGGGCATTTTTTTCAGGGACATGTATAAACTTACATATACAATGCAGATATAAAGTCATGGTCAAGAAGCAGGTGCACTTAGGACAAAGTTTAAAAAAAAAGGGAGCTGTTGAAATCATTAAATCTGGCCCATTAACCCTTTAATATACTTTCCTAAAAGTGGGGGAACAGCTCAATTAGGGGGTTATTCACTAGAGGATGAAGAGTTTGGAGAAGGCAGGAAAAGAGAACAATCTAGCTTACTTTCCAGTTCGGCTGTGTTGTCCTAGAATGTTCACTTCTCCTGCCTTCGCCACACTCTTCACCCTTTGGTGAACAACCCCCTTAGAGTCATGTACCTACACTGATAAAAACCTTGTATCCAGGCACTTGCTAGCATTGCTGGTACCTGCCAAAGCTGTGAAAGCCTGCACTGCATCAGGGAGTCTTTTTATTTCATGGTTTAGATCTACCCAGCTACAACGTCCTGAGCGGAGCTGCACAGAAACAAGAGATCAGATGTTCCAGTGTTTCTTGTTATAGGTATGGGGGCACCATATACAAGCAAGTGTCATGCACAGGTGGACTCGTTTGTGTGCTTAGCAGAACTTTTTAGATTTTAATTTGCTATTTTCCCTTCAAATGAAAAAACAACAAAAAAAACATAATATGGACCGTGGATTAAATGGCGAGTTCCCATATTGTTGTCTGCTGGACTGTCTGTACAGTTTAGATAAACGGAATTTTTTTTTTCTACAATACACTGACAATTGTTCACATTACGATTACAATAGGCAGGTTCTCACACACCGAGGGCACAGGCGGTGACCATGTTTTCAGACAGAGAGGATTAACGGATCATAACAGAAGTAATTACTTACAAACGTCTTCCTTGATTTGATGTTCGAGACATGACAGACTCAATCTACATCCGTGTATTAGACACCGCTTGGAGATGTTCAAGATGACGGCGATGGACATCCATATATAAGAGGCAGTTGTAAAATTTTAATGGTGACATCTCTAAGGTTGGAATTTTTTTTTTTGCAACGTAGTGTTAGGGTCTGCTACTACAGTCTGGAGTCAAAACAACCCTGTAGTCTTTTTTTTCCCCCCCATCAAAGTGTGATCATTCATCACCTTCTAGCGTGCAACGACCATTAACTTTTATGTAAACATCCCTTTTCTTTATTCCTTGTTCAAAAAAGCAGCATTAAGAGTGCACACTGGCCATCGGTGGTTCCAGCATTCACATCGATGGGTCTAAGATGTTAACTTGGAGTAGCTGGGGGGAGAGAACTTTCGTCGCAAGTATTTCAGGACGTAGAGGGGAAGACAGCTGACCAGTGTGATGGCAGTCACTTTCCAAAGGAAGGACAGGGTTGCGATGAAGTAAATATCTGCGGTACACAAAACAAGAGTTAAACCAGATTATTGAAGGGAAAGTACATTTATACAGGGTTATTCACTAAAGGGTGAAGAGTTTGGAGAAGGCAAAAGTGAACAATCTAGGACAACATAGTTCAACTGGAAAAATACTCCAATTCAGCTCACTTTCCAGTTCAGCGATGTTCTCCTAGATTGTTCCCTTCTCCTGCCTTCTCCAAACTCTTCACCCTTTAGTGAATAACCCTGTTGGTTTTTAAGCCACTTATTTTCAGGTGACTGATGGGGCAACGCTCAGACATTTCCTGATAGGGACCTTTGTTTCATCGGCCAATAGGAATGTGTTCCCTCTTTTCACACACTTTCCTATTGGCCAGCGAGGCAGTCCATCATATTGTTCATGGAAGCTGCACACCACTCCCCCTCATTAGTCTTTTAACATTTTCCAATTGTCCCTAGAGGAGTGCGCTTTTTGTTCCATCATATTGACGGGACAATAGGAATGTGAGGAGAGCAGGTGGAAAAGCTGATTCTAGTATGGTTCTAGTTCTGGTATGGATTTTAAGAAGAGACCCCAAGCAAATAAAACACGAGGTTCCCCTTTACATCAAAGTCTCCCATTTCACATCGGAATCTCCGCCTTCACATCAAAATCCCTCCTTACATTAGGAGTCCCCATTCACATCACAGCCCCCTCCTTTCACATCAAAATCTCCCCTTTATATCACAAACCACCCATTACATCAGAGCCCCCCCCCCCCCTTTCACATCAGAGTCTCCCCTTTACATCAGATCCCCTCTTTCACATGAGAGTTCACATTTTACATTAGGAGCTCCCTTCACATCAGCCTGCCAGCACCATGGAAAGGCATGACGCTGTGTGAAAGGTGGAATTCTGAGGAGCCCCTAAGGAAGCCAGGAGACAGACTGGTTGAGAAAGGATGACCTATCAGCAGTTTTTGTTTTTTTTGAGTCATTTTAATTTTTGTTAAAGTTAAATAAACTGACATTTTCTATTTGGTAATTTTAAAGTATGCACTAAGACCCGCACTCCATAGTCTCTTCGGACCAACGAGGCTCTGGCATTTGACAGCAGAATGACTGGCTTACGCTAACCATACACGGCTTGAAATCTCTCTCATTGGCCTGCCAACTGAACAAGAAAACGATCGATTCCCCCATCCATGCTAAACAGCATGGATGAAACAATCTCCTCTGCTGGCTATTGCGTTCAAGCAGCCGTGGCTGCATCTGATAGGATGCAAATGCTGTTGGGGGGGGGGACAATTTTCCACCCGACTCGACTTCTAAGTTGACCTTTGCTAAGCTGGGCCACCCACGGCTCGAAATCTGAGCCATGTAGGACTAGCAAAAGTGTCAACTAGTAGGAAACCTTGTCTACCAACTCATCCCGGCATCCAGGGTGGCTCCAGAAGGACACGGAAGATAATTTGAAGATGAAAGCAGGTTCTTATTGCATACTTTTAGTAATATTATTAGCTTGGGCTTTTGTTAAGCTGACTAGATTAAAGGAGAACTATGACATGAGTGATTTCCACTCACCTCATAGTTCTAAGCCGACCTGTGACAATGAGACTGTCACAGGTCGGCTCAGTAGATCGGGAGGTGAGAGAACACATACCGGCGTTCGCTCACCTCTCGATCCTGTCACGGCTCTCTGCCGTGACAGGGGGAGGGGCTGGATTCCCAGCCCAGGAGAACATCAATCTCTTCAACTGGCTGAAGCCCAGTGACTGCGTAACCTCTTACCCATAAACAATACAATTATTACAGACTTTATCCTGGTAAAAATCGCTCCTGTATTTGCAATGTGCCTAATTTCAAAGGGGAGTGCGCCGAGGTGTGTGCATTACATGCGATCTTTCCTCTCAGCATTTAAAGTAAGGGAAGAGCAGGGCAAGCTGGCT